CTGAAGGAAAGCCCTCTTCTCTGCCCATCTCCCAGCTGCTGGCTGCATATTGCATAAGATTTCACATCTTCCTAATAATGCAGTTCTATAGCTTTTGTGAGTTGGCAGAACAGAAAAAAAAAACCATCTCATGGGTTTATGCATTTTAGAAATGCAGCAATCTAGATTTGGTTCCTTTACCTGTGACCTGTATTTTCAAATTTCCTTTTATTGCTAGTGTATTCCAAGACTTCTGTAGAAGTTGGAGTCTCCCCCTTTTCATTCTTTGTGGTGTTGGCCATACAAGTGCTCTGTGGAGCTGCAACTTCAGGCAAATGTTTGTTTGTTTATTTAAAAAAAGAAATATTTTATGTTTCAAAAGGAAAAAAAAGACACGTAAACTAGACGATGTTACCCACTGACCAGAGGTTGTCAGCATTATTGGCATCTTTTATATTGGTTGCATAGATGTGTTGTTGACTTTTTAAAATACTAAATTTTGTGTGTGCACGAGCGCCGTGCGCCTGTCGGACTGTGTGCAGAGGTCAGAGGACAGCTCGGGGTGTTGGTTCTCTACTGCCATCTTGTGGGGTCAGGGTTCCTCAGCTCTGAGTCCCACCTTGTTGCTAAGCCATCACTTCTGCCCTGTCGTTGCTTGCCTTTAAAAAACAGTAAGATGTTGTATAGAAAGGCAGACTCACGGCTGCGTCAGCCTTTGCTTTTCAGTGGGACGCTGATCTGGGAGGGGCAGCAGGTCATGTTGGGGGGCTTCTCGTTCCTCTTTTCATGAAGTTTCCCCTCCAGACCACCTTGTGTGCTCTTCTCCATTTAGCAGAGAGATGGGTATGCAAACAGACTGAGTCGGGTAGGGATGGCTTATGAATCGCTGGCAGGAGCCCTCATCATTCCTGTCCACATTCCATTGGCCAGAACTTAATCATGTGATGTGTCCCTAACCACAAGGAAGGCTGGGAAATGTAGTCTAGCTGTGTGTTGAGGCGAAAGAGGTGAACCGTTTATTGACAACTTGCATGGCTGCTAACTCATTTTTAATTATTTATTTGTTGTTGTTTGTTTTTTTTTCCAGACTAGGCTTCTCTGTGTAATGGTCCTGGCTTTGTAAGGTCACTCTGCAGACCAGGCTGGTTTTGAACTCACAGACATTTGCCTGCCTCTGCCTTCCAAGTGCTGGGATTAAAGGCGTGTATTACCACCACCCTACAATTTTTTATTCTTTTTAAACCAGACACTTTATTTTGGTTGTTTGTTGTTTGTTTTTTGAGACAGGGTCTCTATGTAGTTCTGGCTGTCCTGAAACTTAACTATGTAGACCAGGCTGGTCTTGAACTTACAGAGATCCACCTGTCTCCACCTCTGGAATGCTGGGATCAAGGCGTGCGCCCCACACCAGGCTGGAGTCAGACACTTCACTTTGAACTTTGGTTTTTTTGTTTGTTTGTTTGTTTTTTGTTGTTGTTGTTTTTTTGTTTTTCGAGACAGGGTTTCTCTGTGTAGCTTTGCGCCTTTCCTGGAACTCACTTGGTAGACCAGGCTGGCCTCGAACTCACAGAGATCCACCTGGCTCTGCCTCCTGAGTGCTGGGATTAAAGGCGTGCGCCACCACCGCCCAGCGGTGATTTACTTTTCTTTTTTATCCTCCTCCCCCCCCCCCCCACAGGGTTTCTCTGTGTAACAAACAACCCTGGATGTCCTGGAACTCACTCTGTAGACCAGGCCAGCCTTGAACTCAGAGATTCGCCTGCCTCTACCTCCTGAGTGCTGGGATTCAGGGGCAGCACCACCACACCTGACATGATTTGCTTTGTAAGGATTGGTTTATAAATGAGATTCTGTCAAGGGAAGAATATGAATGAAATTTTAGGGGATTTAGAGCCCCCCCCCCCCCAACACACACACCCCTTAGCAAGCTTCTGCTGGGCTATGTTCTCCTGTATTTTGAGGGCTTTGAGGAGGTGCTCTTAGAAGCAAGGGAAGGCTGACTGCAGGGCAGGTTGACCTCGGTAATCTTCCTTAGATTTCGAGTTAGATTTCAGCACAGGTGCTCACATTTACTAAGTGAAAGAACTGATTTCCTTTAGAAAATTCTAGCTTCCTCTTTATTTCAGTCAAGTTTCCATCATTTACTCATGTAAATGTCGCCTGATTTTTGCTTCGTTTGGGAAGTAGCCTGCCAAAGTAGGACCCTCCATTCAATGAGAATGCAAGTGCAGGGGACCAGCACCCTGCTTTCTTCCGACCTACTTGAAAGTTGGTCGAGGTCCCTATCAAATAATCTGTGCTGGGCAGGACTCTACCCAGGATTTCTGAAAATTCTGCGAAGAGGGTGAGCAGTTTCTCGCCAGCGTGCGGATCTTCTGTTCCGTGGTGTGTGAGCCTTAGTCCCTTGCCCTCCCTTGTTATCCCTCCCTCTCCACAGCCACCATCGCGGGTGCAGGCCACCACAGCTGTGTCTGAGGGAAACAGAAGCAGCGCTAGTGGTTCAGCAGGTTCCTGCTTCTCTACCTCAGGGTCATCTCTCCCCTTCCCGCCAGGCGTCCCTTGAGTGGCACCTGGGACTGGCCCGTCACCTATTTAACAATGTCCATCCATTGTGGTATCCTCAGATTCCATTCCCCCTGCCACCCACCCCCACCCCCTCACCCTCAGCATGGCTGCGTTTAGGAGACTTGTCGCCTCCAGCATTGAGGCTCCTCGTTCCCGCTTTGATCAGGCATGGACCCATTCATTTGGTAGGTACATGGTTAGCTCTTCACTTTTATACACTGGGCACTAGCAGGTCACATACAGCTCGTCAAGAATTCTGCAGAGGTGTGTTACCAGATTTTGATCCATGGGTAAAAAAAATAGTTCCCTGTGACATCCCTCAATGCGAGAAGGCTCTGGGAGGCACCATGTGACCGGGAGCAAAGGACAGCTTGGGGGAGAAACAGAAAAGAGCCTCCACTTGTAGAACACCATGTGCCAGAAGAAGAATTCTTGACCCCTGGTCTGTCAATGTACAAGGGATAGATAGTTCAGGGTGATCCCAGCAGCACTCAGAGGCACTTTGGTAACTGCGTGGGAGACTGTTGCACTAAGGTACCGTGGTGTCTTTATTATTCTTGATGAGTCTAGCCTTACATTCCCTGTCCTGATCAACCCTTTGGGGCTGTCAAACACTGCTGTTGTTTGGCATGCTGGGGAATGAACCCTCTTCTAGGAAAGTACCACTGAGCTGTTACCCTCAGCACAGACGTGTTGAAAGTATCTTCCTTTACATGTTGGCATTCTTTTCTGTATTTGTGTGGAAGCAGTTTTATGTCAGGGAGAGAAAGAGGATGAGTGTGTGTATGGGGGTGGGGGTAAGATTCGTGGTGGGGATGGAAGTCTCCTGAGGTGTAAGTCATCTCAAGCACATGCTGTAGTTGGCCTGTATGTATTGTGAATCTGTGGCTAATTAGCAAAGGCCTGGTACCAGATTTGATCCTTTTGTTTTTCTGTCTTTCTACTTCATTATTATGAGGTCATGTAGGTCTTCTTCCTAGGTCTTAACTTACTTGGCAGATGAATTTTTGGTTGCTTTCCTCCTGCTACTCAGAACTCATGTTCCAAGGGCTCCATTCCTAGTCGTTACCTCCTTTTATTCTTCTTGGCTAACTATCTGCAGACCATTGTCTGTCACACCAACCTCCAGCTCTGTGCTGATTGGCTCTGAAGTCTCTGACTCAGACTCAGTCTTTGTCCCATTGGCCATCTGATTGGTCGACGAGGCATCTTGGACACAGTGCTCCATTTCAGTTCATGTTAACAGTGACCCAAACTCAGACTTCTGTGACTTGGCTCAGTCCTCCTATGCCACCCCGTCCATCCTCAGATGTTCCTCAGCCTTTGGCCCCTCGCCTGCTGCCAGTGTGTTGGTGTCTGTTACTCCGGTAGACCTAGGAGCCTATTTCTGTTCTTATCTGAAGACCAAGTGCAGTGCCCAGTGCATAGAAGATACTGAAGAAATACTGGAAAGAAATGGATGACTGGATGGATGGATGGATGGATGGATGACTGGATGGATGGATGAAAAGTTGACTAACCAGTTTGAGGTTACCTTTCAGAATGGGATTTTTCTTTCTTTTTATCAGAACTAGGAAATTATCTTTGCTTGCTAATACTGCAATTTGAAAAGCACTTTAAAAAAAAAAAAAAGAAGTATTCCACTACATAAAACTTCTTTCTGTCCTATCCCTGGTGACGTTTGTAAATACATGCACTGGAAAGGAGGAATTATTTACAGTGATTTTGACACCTGGTTATTAGAAGATATTACCTCAGTGGCTCCCGTGGTTGTGTTCTTGGTACAGCTGGGCAATATTTCCTCAAATATCAGAAGTAATTGATATTAATGACCTGCCTGCTTCATTAATCAGAATGCCTCCGTTTCCGTAGTCTTCACATCTTTTTTCATGGTGTTTGTGTATCAAATGTCATTTCTCAAAATGCCATCTACCTTGACTTTTTGTTTGTTTATTTTGTTATTTTCTTTAAAGACAAGGCCTGTAATTCAGCAAGTCAGCTAGGTTTGCTGTTCAGTGAGCTCCAGGGATCCACCTACCGCTGCCTTCCCAACACTGTGATTATGAAGTCATACCATGCCCAGTTCCATGCCCAGTTCTTTTATGTGGGTTCTGGGGATCGAACTGGGTCCTCATGCTTGCAAGGCAAACTCTTTACCGACTGGGCCACCCTCCCCAGCCTCCCATCTGGATTTTTTTCATATAGCCCTAACTAGCCTGCACCTCACCGTGTAGACTGAGATGGTCTGAAACTTGTCCTGGCTGGAGTCTTAGCATTGTAGAGCTACAGCGTTGCCTTCTGAACTTGACCGTGAGCAGGAGTTGCCCGAGCATGAACTGCAGGGTGTTTCAGTGTTGGGCTGAGGAGAAGTTACCCACTTGAAGCTTCTAGTTGAAAGAGTTGTCTATTAAAAGATCCCTTTTAACCTCATTATTCTCCCTCCCTTTTTCTAACAGGGAGAATCCCGTATTCTCAGAGTGAAAGTTGTTTCTGGAATTGACCTCGCCAAAAAGGACATATTTGGAGCCAGGTATGTTTGCTTTTTTGTTTTCTTTTTTTGTGGGCTGCTGGAGAAGTTGGTAAACTTTTGGTGAGTGGTGTTGGGGATTGGACCTAGGGCCTTGTGCATGTCAGGCAAGTGCTCGACAATTAAAGACATCCCCAGCCCCCTTTTACTTTTTCTTTTGAGACAGGAGCTCACCATGTAGCCTAGACTGGCTTTGAACTTGTGGTCCTATTGTCTTTGCCCCTTGACTGATGGAATTAATAGACCTGAGCCAGAAGGCCTGGCAGGTAAATCCTTTTCAAATTTAGGTGTGCATCTGGACCACCCACAAGGCTTCTGCAGAGGCACCTGGGAGATTGGTTTAGTGCCTAATGGTGATGCAGAGAGCCAAGGGTAGTGTTTGCATGGGTATCTATCTAACTGTGATCTCTAACTGTATCACTATGGTAATTATCCAGTTCCCCCATGTAGGCTGACTGCTTGAGGATAGTAGATTCTAGTGAGGTTCTCCTCCTCTCTTCAATTGGGGAATATGGCTCTGCTTATCTTTAGCATATCTGCTGGTTCTGGATCTATGGGTTCTGGCAACCCCAGATCAGAAACATTTGGGGGGAAAATGATGTTAGTATTGAACATATACTGTGTTTTATCCCCACCTGACATTGTTTCATAAACAATACAGTCCAACAGTGATTATATAATGTTTAGGTTAAGTATTATAAGAGATGTAAAAGTGATTTAAAGTATATGGGAAAATAGGCATTGGTTATTTGCAAATACCACGGTGTCAAATTGTGTATACGTGGCATGAGCATCTGAGAGTTGGGATCCACGGGAGGAACTGGAACCAGTTCTCCACAGATGTTGAGGGATGGCCTTTCTAGGTTTTGTGCTTCTAATTCCTAACCAGGGGAACAGAAAAGCATATACTGCTTCTTGACCTGGGTTCCCTTGGCACATGTAATGTGTGTGCAGGGATGGGGTGACGTGAGTGATGCTGGCGATGGCTGTTGTCTCACTGACGTCCCGGCTGGGTGGCAGCCTGAGCCTTCTGTGTGCTTTAACAACTGTTCTCAGTACTGCTCTGTTCTCTGGCCTTTTTGGCCACTTGGGCTCTCTGTAGGGTGTGGCAGTGTATTATGGGCAGGGGACAGGATGATGGTGTAAAACAGCTTGAAAAGATTCGAGCCAAACTTTGGGGCTCAGAGCTCTTGAGCTTTGGCCCAGTTGAGACCTAGAAGTGTTCAAGCCGAGCTTGGTCCTTTATCGTTGAGGTAGTTTGACCATGTGCACAAAAAGTCCAGCTGCTCCCTAGTATCACCAGGTCAGCAGTTTTAGAAGAATGAGTAGGCAACCTACTTTCCCATGTCCAAGGCTCCTTTTATTTTGTGGTGGGGTGAACTCGAGAGGGCGAGGGGCTGCTGAGGATTCTTGTCGTCAGGTTCTTGTTGGCCCGTGATGCTTTCGCCCTATGGCCATCTTAGGACGACGGTACCCTCTGCCTGACCGGGATCCTGCCTAATGAGGCCTCTTCCCATGTCACTCCCTGTCTTCCCCATACACCCCAGAGAAACCATCTCCTGCCAGGGAATGTCACACCCCTGTTGTCCGACTGCCCATATGTCACACTTCACTGAATGCTGCCTATTCAAGATAGCGAGTTTACAGAATGAAACCTAGAGAAATTATCAAAACAATAAAACTGAGGCAAATATTGGAGGATTGCTTAAAAAACTTTCTTCTGTGTACTTTGGACAGCCAGCGGAAGACAAGCTCTCTGGGTGTGTCCTGGGGAGTCTTGAGTGTCTGAAAGTCTGTGTCCTCCCGGCACTGAGGGTAGGTGGCCTGTACGAGAGGCACACATTCCACCCGGAGGGTTTTTCTCCTTTGACTGTGAAGACACACTGCAGGGTTGGCTGACTGTCTATGCACCAGCAAAGAGGAACCTGTGCCGGAGTTGGGGACAGGAAAATCCCATGTTTCCCCTCTTCCCTTCCAGGGCAACCCTGTCACTAGTTCCAGGAATCCCCACTCGTACCAACCTGAAATGACACCATTTCCAGGAATCCTGGAGTTCTCAAATTCCATCCCTATCAAAACACCACCTTATATCCTGCTCCGCTCTCACTCAGATCCGATGACCTTTAAAAAACTGTTTTTAATTGTGTGTGCACGCTGGCATGCTATGCTGAGCATGCGGAAGCCAGAGGGCACCTTTGTGGAATGAGTTCTTTCTTTGCACCTTCTACATGAGTTTGGGGGACCAAAACTCAGGCTGCCAGACTTGCAAGTGTCCTCTCTGCTGGGCCCTTCTACCACGTGTCTTTCCTTTCTTAACCCCTTAGCTGCCATAGACATCATAGTGCCCTTTCAGCATCCGTCCATGTGTTTTCTGGAGGTTTTCTAATACTCTTTTCACTTGTCTCTATTATTAAATTATTCAGCACAGGCATCTGAACGCCTGTCGAGTTTCCTCCTTCTCAGGAGAGCTCTGCTCTTAGAAGTTGGATTTAGAAAGTCCCCTTGCCTTTAAGTTTTTTGTTTTGGTTTTGGTTTGGTTTTGTCTGGTTTTAACCTAACTCCTTTGAAAAAAGTGAAACCTGGGCTGGAGAGAAGATGCAGAGGCCCAGGTCGAATTTCTAGAACCCACATAATGGCTCACAGCCATCCATAACCCCAATTCCAGGGTATCCAGCACCCTCTTCTGAACTCTTCAGTCACCAGGCATCCAGTAGTGTGTATACACACACACACACACACACACACACACACACACACACACACACACACACGCAAAACACTCAAATACATAAAGTTAAAAGAAGTTTGGTTTTTTTTAAAGATTTATTTATTTATTATGTATAGTGTTCTGCCTGCACATATGTCTGCAGGCCAGAAGAGGTCGCCAGATCTCATTACAGATGGTTGTGAGCCACCATGTAGTTGCTGGGAATTGAACTCAGGATGTCTGGAAGAGCAGCCAGTGCTCTTAATCTCTGAGCCATCTCTCCAGCCCCAAGAAGTAAGTCTTAAAAGATACTTTTGAAAAATGGAATTGTGATCCCATTTCTCAGTTTGTTGGTAAAATCTGAAGTTAAAACTGTAAATGTAATTGGACTCAGAATCTTAGAGGAACCCAGGAAACTTCAGCCCTAAATTTTTCCTATTTGTATGAAAATAGGGACTTTTCATAGAGAATGAATAAAAAGGAAGGTGCAAATTCGAAAGACAAATAGTGTCGCCTGATGGATCAGTGCCAGAAAGGGATCCAGAAGCGGAGTGCCCCTCCATTCTAGACCAGTAAATGGGAACACCCCACCACCTTCTCCCCTCCCCTCCCCTCTCCTGTGGGCTGAATATGAAGGATGAGGTGGTAGTTCAGTCAGGGGCAGGTTGGCATCTTCTCTGGGCTCTTCCTCTTACGGTCAGAACAGCAGGGCCCTGGGTTGGAGACACCAGTCTGTACTGGCCCCTGCAGCGGCCTGAGGAATTCTTTTCAGAACCTGTGGAGGTCAGAGGACAGCTTGGTGGGAATCTGTTCTCTCATCCATCATCTAGGTTCTGGGCATGAAACTACCATTAGCCCTGGTGGTAGGCCCTGTCTGAGCTGTCTCCTGGCCTGGAGTCGGAGTCTGTTAGGAAGATATTTTAACAAAGAGGTAAACCTGAGGATTAACAGAAAGGTATTCAGGGATAGGGTTTGGGCACCTTGAAGTTACTAGGCCCAAAGGGTTCCTAAGGACTCTCCCCTACTTCTGTATTTTGGGATCACAGAGTGGCTCCTGGGATGCCTTGGATAGGAGAACAGCCTGATAAAACCATGAGTACCAGGGCTGTACAGCGAGGTAAAAATACGAGTCTCTGAAAACTGTGCTTTTCAGGTGGGTAGGGATAAAAGCTGTCCTTGGTCATATGTGCTTAGTAGGCCTTAAGCGTGGACCATTGCTATTTTAGCATTCTCCTCTGAAGTATCACTGGGTCCAAGGAGTATTGTCATTGTCTTCTGTAGATGACCTCCAAAGCAAACGTTAATGCACTGAAATTGTTGACTCTTCAACCAGACTCTGGGGTGCAGGGGTCTTTTCCATTATGGGGTTCCCTTATCTGCCCCCCCCCCACACACACACTTTTAATTTACTTGTTTGCCTTTGTTGGTTTGCTCTGTTGTTTAATAACTTGTCCTCATCACTTAGTGTTTCCCCGATGGCCTTCATCCCCACCCCCCCACCCCCCCGACCTTAACAGATCTTTCAAAACCACCCGTGTCTGGCACATCCGGGGAAACAGATAACTGTGCCCTGCAGTGCAAGGCTGGCCTCCAGGGAGAACCCACACTGATCGGTCAGCGGAAGCTCTGAGGTGTCATTAGGCATGGTCACGAGCACAAGGGCAAGTTTTGCAATGTATTGCCTGCCATCCCCTGTGTCCTTCAGAGCCCCGGACCAGCAAGTGTCCTCTCCTCACCCCCAGCCTGTCTCCTCAGTGTTCCCTAACCCACGTCTCACCGGTTCCCAGTCTCCCAGGCAGAAGTCCGGGGTAGGAGTTGGAAGGAGAACAGTGGAAGTTCCTTGGCCTGAGGCGTGACGGGGGGGGGGGGGGGGGGGGGGGGGGGGGGGGGGTAACTGTGTGGGAGGCCGGGGAGACCGCATGTGATGTTTGGCCTGCGTGGTAACTTGGGGTTACTTGTGGAGAAGTAGAGTGCTTCCTCCCTCTTTGTCTTTCTAATGCGGTAGTGGCTGCTGCCGGAGACTCTAAGACCTGGTGTTGGTAGAGCTGCACTCTGGCGGCCTAGCATCCCCTCAGCGGGAGTTCACTAATCCTCTCTTGAGAGGCCTGTGCCCAGAGGAGAGGTCCTTCTCCTTTTTGGTGCCCTGGGACACAGTCCAGCACTTAGGATGCAGGATTGTTTTTCACCTCCACTGTAGCCAAGTCCAAGTCTGTTCAAAAGAGCCCTTGTTCGGAGCAGATCGGCTGTCTGAGCAGTGGTGCGGGCTGCCCATGTGCAGAATGGCAGCAATAGAGGT